AGCGGTCACCAATCACATATTACATAAAAGTTTGCATAACGAGATACATCAGAGTTTACACATAGTTATTACAAAACAAGTTCGAATAAAAGTAGCGGAAGTCATTTGTTTAAAACCACACACACTCACACGGAGTTCAAATATAGTGCCAGCTGATGATCATCTCCAACAAAAGCATTAGATGAGACGTAAGGAATGACCATGCCCATGGTCCTAAGCATCACCATCGCGGGATAGAGGCAGTTGATACAATAGCCATAGTACATCTGCCCATCTGCAACAAGTGGGAATAAAACCCTGAGTACGAGAATGTACTCAGCCAGACTTACCCGACATAACCGAAAATAAATGACACCAAGGATTATGAAGGGCTTTATAGTAGGGTAGCTGACTCATTTGCGAAAGAAGCATTTTAGCATTTCAAGAACCTTTCTAAAAGCATTATTGTCAAGTTAATTATTATTAACTCTTTGTCGACTAGATTTGCACCTATACTAGAGTAAACATGTGATTAAGCAATTAATGATAACCACTGATCATTAAACAACTTCCATCTTGTCATATTCACTATAAGCATCCAAGTGTTCCATAAACATTTACTACGATGAAGTCACTCAAGTCAAGTGCTCACTATCCGGGAGCGATGGCGATTCGAATCGATTCCTAACCACCGGTGATTTATTCCTTACACAAATCTCACTCACCCGCTAAAGTGAGATATTGATCACCGAGTCAACTTTCGGGTATCTCGAGTTTGCCAGAACCACATGTACCGGGGGCCGACTGATCGCACTTTGGTCTTATCATCCCGCCCGTGTCCTACCACACACCTTGCCACGGTCTTGCTGCTGGGCAATCTACTCGGCCCGAAAAATCTCCCAACCAGCGGTCGGAAGGTACTTTATCCGCCCGATTAAATGTAAGGCATGCGTTCAACATGACTCGAGGCCCAACAACGGTCGGTCCTTAATCGACACCGAGACGGAAACACTACACCAAAAACCACGCAAGTCTCCGCCTTGCTCAACTTCATTTAACACTTAGTTATACCATGACTTCATAGCCATCCAAACAGATCCAGGTAACCACCTATAGCTCGCAGGTGACAGGAAATCACCCGACTTCTACCGGTCTAAGCCAGCTAAGCATTGACTCGACTGCGGATACCAGGGTAACAAGGATATAGTATAACAAAGGTAAACAAGGTATAATGCAGCAACGGTTGCAAACAACTCCTGAACGTAATGCATCAATTTAAAATAAAGCATTTAACGAAATCATTGCAAACCGGGAGAAAGATGCTCCGGGGCTTGCCTCTCTCGAAGGAGCTCGGGCGGTGATCGGGGCACTCCGGAAGTTCCTCAACGTCCTCCTCGTCGGCTTCTGGCACTTCCTGCTGCTGCACCTCGAACTGCTCCTCGGGCTCCTCGGGAATGACGGCTGGGTTCTCGGTTTGCGATCCTGTATGATGCAATGCGTGTAAGTGCCTATGCAATCGGTGCATCGAAGGAGATGAATGTAATGAATATGTTGAAAGGCAAGGTAGACAACATCATCCAAGAAACTATGCTACAAGCACATGTCATCTACTGCATTTTCTTCTACTACTAATATGTTAAGTTAACCTATCTTGTGAAATGCTTCAAAGATACACCAAAGCTTTACTAATTTCTTAATCACACTTAAGGCAACACTTGCTTAAACCTTAATTAATAATAGGTTTGAATAGCAACCTATATTTCTGATGCTCCTAAAAATCTGAGAAAATTACAGTAGCATAATACTACCCTAAACAGACTACCATAAAAATTTCATGGCATTTGGATAAGTAAACTATCCTACACAAAAATGACAAGTTATTGCATAAAAATGAGCATGAAATTACTTTGTACTATGAAAAGTGTCAAACAACAGAATTAATATTTTTCCTGGGTTCTTCATAGCATATAATGACTGTACAAAAATTATCACATGAATGTTTTATACAAAGTTTGCTCTCTAGCAAAAATAACAAAAATCAGCCATTTAAGGTACTTGAACTACACCTCTAAAGTTTTCCACAGCACATGCATGAAATATATTTTTCCTAGGAAGTACATGACATAAGAAGATTAACAAACTTGGAATCATATTTTTCTGAAGCCTAGATATTTTTCTACATATTTTTCAAGTTATCAGCAATATTCAAGATTAAATAAAATCCTATAGAAAAGTATATCAAAAATGACATGCACTATTTTTCCCAAGTAGATCTGGTGATAAGGAACCTAGCAAATTTTGTTTCAACAAATTTGGAGCAAGTTTGACCATCCAAACATTTTTCAAACCATTTTTGATTTCAAATAACAAATAAAAAAAAATCAATTCATTTTAGAAATGCTGGGCCGGCCTGAAGAGAACAGCTGGCCCACGGCCATCATCGACTTTCTGCTGTGAGCGCCGAGAGGGGAAGACGCCCAATCAGGCGTCAAATGGCTGGCTCGGCTTCAGTCGTCACCGAGGCACGGACACATGTTGGGCCTGTATTTGGCGCGACAGCAGCAACTTCGACCAATGGCAATGCCGGCCGCCTCCGGCCATGGCGGCCTTGAGCCAAAGCGCAATAGGTGTCGAGAGGCCATGGCGAAAAGCAAGCAGGCAACTACGCACGGGTGGGAAGGGAGGAAGAGGGCGCCCACGGCGGCGGGCACGGCGCGGCGCCATGGACGCCGGTGGCGAGGCACGGAAAGCTTACCAGTGGCTTCGGCGGAAGGCGCATAAGCGCGAGTGAGCCAAAGGAAGGCGGCGGGCGGCTGTGGGCGCGAGCAATCGGAAAATGATGCGGCGGTGTGAGAGCTTAGCGTCGGCGAGCTCGAGCTTGGCGAGAAGGAGCTTCGGGGCTCATGGCGAGGGCGGAGTGAAGGGCGCGGGGAGGAGGAAGGCGAGCGCGCGCGCGGTCGGCAGCAGTAGCGCTCCTCTTCAAGCCCGCCAGCCATGCTGCGTGGTCGAGCTAGCCGGGCGCGTGGCGGACACGCCAAGCGGGCGTCGCCGCCGACGAGGCCGGGACGTGGCGCGGCGACGGCACGCAGCTGGAGAGAAGCGCGCGGCAGCGCAGCAGCCAGGCTGGGCAGTCTTTGCTTGGCAGCAGCCTTGGCCAGTGCGTGCTGGGAGCTCATTGGGCCGGCTTTGGCTGGCAGGCCAGAAGCGAGGCGGCGGCCCAGAAAATAGAAAATGGAATTTTTCAATTGATTTTCAAGAAAATTTTAAATTGCCATCTTTCAAACATTATTTTGAGCAAGAAAATGACCTCTTTTGAAAATGTACCAAAAATGAAAGTTGCTTAGAATTAAATTCCCTACAACTTTGCTTTTATGACCAAAGTCCAATTCTATCTAGATTTTAGATTATAGAATCAAAGTTAAATTTTTTAACTCAAAACCCTAATTTTGGGAAATCACTTTGGAAGCAAAATTTTGAATTAATTTGAATACAAACCTTGCTCCAAAAATTGTGATAAACAATTCTAGATGATTTTCAAGCATAACCAACAGTTTCTACTCAGCTAGCAAGCAAGAATCAGAGCAAAACAACTCTAATAAGTGTATGCATCATTTACTTTTCACAAACATGTTTCGTATGTTTCGAAGGAATGTTTCAGTTATTATATGCAAGATTATGCATGTATGATTAGGATGCTTGATGATGCATGATATGCATGATTTGCAGTGCCTAAATGTAGGCATAACACCGGGGTGTTACATGGCATCGTCATAAGCTAACATATCCAGTTCTTTCTACCCTTGCTAAAGATGTTTTCAGTGTGCCTGTTTCTACCATTTCCTCAGAAGCTACTTTCAGTACCACTGGCAGGATCATTGAAGAAAGGCGGCGGAGGCTAAACCCTGAGACTGTGGAGGCACTCACATGCATCAAGGACCGGAAGTCATTTCTTTGAGTCAAGGCTACAACATATGGTGGAGGATAAGGAGCTCGAGGAGGCCTTTGAAAACCTTTATCTTGATTAGTCATTCATTTATGTAATGGTCTGTAATCTTAAAGACTTGGACTTGGATGCTTTGGACCTGTGGATTGGATTTAATGAACAATTGGATTAAACTAAGGGGTTGGTCTGCACTCTTTTTCCCCTGTCCGTGGTTTCTCACAAGGGTGAGTTTTACAGGACAGGTTTTAATGAGACGACCATTGCACGCTCCTTTTATTTCATATTCGCTCTTCTTCTTGTGTTCTCTTTTTTTCTTTTGCTTTCTTCAAATTTGAATTTGATCATTGAATTGTGCTGCTGTTTGTGAACATTTTAAGTGTTATTGAGGTTTTAGTGCCCAGGCACGGCACTAATCCGCTGGGCTGCCGTGCCTTGTGGCACGGCACGGCACTGCCTGGACTCTTTAGTGCCGTGCCTGGGCCGGAGTGGTGGCACGGCGGCACTACACTGCACGGCACGGTCAGGATGCCGTGCCTGATAGTGCCGTGCCGCGCCGTGCTAGTGCCGTACCGTGCCCGGGCGGCCCATTTGGAAAACTTTAATTCCGATTCACATTTCCCTCCAAAGTAGTAGCACCAGGGTTTTGTCTTTTTTTTTTTTGAAACTAGGGTTTTGTCTTTCGTGTGACGAGATCAACACGTCACTACATCGTCAGATCTCAGATGCCTGCAAAATTTTTGAAGAGCTATCTGATGATATTCTAAACAAGATTTGATTTTGTCGATCGTTTTTTACGACGGATCCCTGAAAGCACAGTGTTCTTTGACCATGGAGCACCCATCCTTTTCGAAACCCTGAAATTTCTTTTTAGTACCTGTCTTTGTCTTGGTGTCACTTCTAATCATGGCACCGCGTGTGCCAAGTAAACTCCTCCTAGGACGCGTTTAGTTTTCAGCCACGTAACTTACTTGGGAATCAATGCAAAAACAATGGTGAGAAATTATATCATCAGTGTTTGATCTGAACAACACTTTCTCAGAGCACAGCAGGTCACCTGCAGGATCGGAGGCAGAAGCAGATGCTTGTCGCCACACTGATAATCGCCGGCGTGCTGGTCGTCTCGGCATGGCCAGCAGCGGCGACCGCGCCACCACCAACACCATACGGCGGGAACGCCTCCTGCCAGCGGCGGTGCGGCGACCTGGAGGTCCCGTACCCGTTCGGCATCGGGCGCGGCTGCTACCACTACACGGGCGAGGGCGACATCACCTTCGAACTCACCTGCAGGCGCACCGCGGGCGGCGGCTACCAGGCCTTCAGCGGCGAGTCCATCGAGGTCATCGACATCAACGTGCGCCTCGGCCAGGCGCGCGTCCGCAACGACATCCAGGCCTGGTGCTACAACCGCACCTCGCGGTCCATGGTGGGCGACACGAGCCGCTTGGGCCCGGACCTCTCCGACTCTCAGTTCCGGGTCTCCGACGAGGGCAGCCGCTTCGTCGTCGTGGGCTGCAACTCGCTGGCGTACGTGGGGTCCGTCAACACCGGCACCGTCTACATGACGGGATGCATGGCCACGTGCCCGGACGCCGGGACGCTGGTGAACGGCTCCTGCGCCGGCATGGGCTGCTGCCAGACGGCCATCCCCCGGGGCATCAACACGTACTCGGTGGAGTTCGACGACCGCTTCAACACCTCCGCCGTCATGGGCTTCAGCCCCTGCACCTACGCCGTGCTCATGGAGGCCGCCGCGTTCGACTTCCGGATCACCTACGTCACCACCGGGGACTTCATGGCGTCCACCGGCGGCAAGGTGCCGGTGCTTCTGGACTGGGTGGTCGGTAGGGAGACGTGCCGGGAGGCGACGCGGAACGCCACGGCGTACATGTGCGTCAGCGACGACAGCAAGTGCGTCGACTCCAGGAACGGAGGCGGCTACCTCTGCAACTGCTCCGCAGGTTACCAAGGAAACCCCTACATCCCTGCCGGCTGCCAAGGTCTGTACTCTGTCCTGTTCGGCATGCATCAAAAAGATAAACTTTTGCTAGTTTTGACACACAGACACACCTCAAAAAAAAAAAATACAACCTTTGATCTGATCTGCTGCTGCAGACATTAACGAGTGCGAGGAGGATCCTAACAAGTACCCTTGCTCTGTTCCTGGAACCTGCACCAACACTCCCGGAAGCTTCATCTGTTCTTGCCCCGACAAGACGACAGGCAACGCTTACAATGGCACATGCGAGGCGAACAAATCTCAGCTCGGAGTGCGCATCGCAGTTGGCGTTAGCGCTGGCTTGGTCGTGCTAGTGGTCACCATGTCCTGCGCCTACATGATCCGCCAGAAGCGGAGCCTCGCCGCCGTGAAGCAGAGGTACTTCAAGCAGCACGGCGGCCTCCTGCTGTTCGAGGAGATGAAGTCGAAGCAGGGCCTGTCCTTCACGCTGTTCACTGAAGAGGAGCTGGAGGAGGCGACCGGCGGGTTCCACGAGCGGAACGTGCTCGGCAAGGGAGGCAGCGGCACCGTATATAAGGGGTCTCTCAGGGACGGCAGGGCCGTGGCGATCAAGAAGTGCAAGCTGGTGAGCGAGAGGCAAGAGAAGGAGTTCGGGAAGGAGATGCTCATCCTGTCGCAGGTCAACCACCGGAACGTCGTCAGGCTCCACGGCTGCTGCCTCGAGGTGGAGGTCCCCATCCTCGTCTACGAGTTCGTCCCCAACGGCACGCTGTACCACCTCATCCATGGCCACCGCAGCCACGGCGGCGAGCGCGTCTCCTTCGCCACGCGCCTCAAGATCGCGCACGAGGCTGCCGAGGCGCTCGCCTACCTCCACTCCTGGGCCTCGCCGCCGATCATCCACGGCGACGTCAAGTCGCCCAACATTTTGATCGACGAGAGCTACGCCGCTAAGGTGTCCGACTTCGGGGCCTCGACGTTGGCGCCCACGGATGAGGCGCAGTTCGTCACGTTCGTGCAGGGGACCTACGGCTACCTGGACCCGGAGTACATGCAGACCTCCAAGCTGACGAGCAAGAGCGACGTGTACAGCTTCGGCGTCGTGCTCCTGGAGCTGCTCACGTGCAGGAAGGCCATGGACCTCCAGGCGCTGGACGATGAAGAGATCAACCTCTCGGCGCAATTCCTCCGTGCCATGGGTGAGAATAGGCTCGATGAGATACTGGACGAACAGATAAAAGGCGAGCAGAGCATGGAGCTGATCGAGCAGGTGGCCGAGCTGGCGAAGCAGTGCCTGGAGATGGCAAGCGAGAAGAGGCCCTCCATGCGAGAGGTTGCAGAAGAGCTCGACAGGGTTAGGAAGCTGTCGCAACATCCTTGGGGGAGCCAAGAAGAGACTTGTGATGATGAGCTCAAGGCCTTGCTTGTCGGATCACCAGGGACAGGGACGTCCTCTGAAATAGAACTTAGTATTAGTACTAATGCGTATGTTAGCATGACAGATTCAGCCTATTTAGGGATTCGATCTCCACGATAAAATCGATTAGAGTATCTTTGTTATTTCCTTAGAATCATTTGTTTTGTTTGTTCAATCTCCACGATAACATCAATTATCTCCGGCCCCTAGAATCATTTATTTTCTTTGTTCACTACTTCACTTAGGGCCTGTTTGGTTCACCTTTAGTCACTTTTAGTCATTAAAATACCAAATACCCTACTAAAGTTTAGGGGCCACTAAAGTTTAGTGGCTTTTAGTCACCAAAGGGTAGTTAAAAATTGACTAAAGTGTACATGGGACAGCTGCTTTAGTGGTCTTTAGTCACTCTAACCAAACATGGGGTCAGTAAGCTTTAGAGGGGTCACTAAAGTTTAGGGCATAGAACCAAACAGGCTATTAGTAATGGGTAATGGAAAAAAGCTACTGGTAGTCTTTCTTTGTCCATCAATGAAAAAAAAGATAATAATTTTCTTTATTCTGTTTTACTAATAGTGAAAATCCCATTATAATACCCCCTTTGTTCCAAATTATATTTCAGTTTGATTTTTTTAGTAATTCAATCTTTCTCAAATATTGACTGAATTTTGTAGCAAGATGTACTTGTATTATTTTCAAATACCCAAAATGAACATAGAAAAAAGTTATAATATAAGTTTGAACAAATGACTTAGAATAGTCTCAAGATCACTTGTTCGTGACTTGATCCTCTGTCCCTCCCTAAAAAAAATGCAACTCGCACCTCCCGAGAAGTCATACAATTTTAATTCTGACCACTTCTATATGAAAAAGTATTAACATTTTTTATATCAAACAAGTATCATTGGATTGTTTATGAAATATAGTTTTATAGTAAATCTATTTGGAGATATAAATATTGATACTTTTTTCTATATATAAAATAGATTAAATCTGATAAAGTTTGACTACCACTCTTAAACTAAAATTTCATTCTTTTGGAGGACGGAGGGAGCATTTTCTGCTTCTATAGAAATCTATGTAAACTCACACAAAAACGTGCCACTAATTAAGCATCGCCGGCTGTCCAAATATCACCGGGCTTTCCTCTTTCTTGGGCTTCACTGGGCCTCATTCGGCTCCATTGAGAGTTTAATAAAACACGTGGAATATGCACGTGTAGATGGAGTTGGCCGAAACTGTTAAACCAATGTAGATTGTAGAATCCGCGTGTTGGCCGAAACTGTTAAACCAATGTGGCCGAACTAACAGCGTGTAACCGCGGCGTACCGAAAAACCGCGGGCCTTCTTGTACTTGTACGTGCATTGTAGAACCCGCTGCTCGTGTGGGTTGTGGGTGGCCGTTTGATTGTTGCATCCTTTGCATCTCCTTGGCACTTGGGCTAGCTTTTGCACGCAACCACAGTTGGCCAGGGTCAGTGTAGCTTTTCGGCCTTTTTGCTAACAAAAGAGAGTGAGTGAGAGGCATGATGAGCGGTGGGATCGAAAGGGAACCTGGGAACGGCACGGTCATCTCCAAGAGATTTTTCTCTGTGTGCCATTATAAAAGATTGAAATCCCATGTGTGTTTTTGGAAAAATTCAGCGGTCTTCAACGTCACTACTTCAACTTTTTCAGGTCTTTCATGCCACTTCCGTCAGTTCAGGCTCTAACGCAAATCAAACTGCAGTGTGAAAAAAAAATTTATTTTCAAATGCCCAAAAAAAATATGTTATTAATTTTTTTAATATATCTTAGACTTCAAATGAAAAAACTCAAAACTAGAAAGTTGTAGATCTAAATAAAGATCTATAATTTTCATATAAAATTTATTTTCATTTAATTCATAAAAAAAATATGATTTGATATGATTAATATATCTTAGAAAAATCATCATATTTTTTGTGGAATTAAATCAAAAAAAATTAATAACATATTTGAACTTATATCATTTTCGAATTTCACACTCTGCAGTTTGACGGCGTTAGAGCCTGAACTGACGGAAGTGGCATAGATGACCCAAAAAAGTTAAAGTAGTGACGCTGAAGAACACTAAATTTTTCCAAGGACACACAGAGAATTTCGATCTTTTATAATGGCACACAGAAAAAGTCTCCATCTCCAACTCCAAGGCCCCGGAACGCACACGCACGGGACGCCGACCAGACCGGAGATTGAATTCGTTTTCCCGGCCCCGGCCCCCTCCAAACCGCGGATAAAAGATATATATATATATATATATATATATATATATATATATATATATATATATATATATATATATATATATATATATATATATATATATAATATATAAAAACGATGGCGGTGCCAGCTTGTGGTGGAATTTACCCATCCAGTTAACTCGTCGTCAACTTAAGTGTGTGTTCGTATTTTTTTTAATTTATTTCTAGATTTTGTCGACAGCGAAGACTTCTATACATGATAATCCATCTCAATCGTTTGAGATTTATGCTGTGGTCAAAAAAAAAAAAACCGATGCTAGCTAGCTTAGGTTAATAGGGGGGCGTTCAGCCAAAACAAAATCCGGCATTGAGCACGTAGTACTGATAATTGAGTGAACTGACACCGTTGTCTGGGTGAACATCTTCGTTGCAATTGCAAGCTACTAGAAAAAGTTACGGTTACTCCCTTCGTTCCAAATTACCAGTCATTTCAAGAATCTTGGAGAAGCCGCTGACCGCAGTAGTTTAATGGTCTTGAGCCCAATCAAAATCATATCACATCGCTTTGTTTTTTCCCTGCCTTGTGCCGTATTTTCTTCCTTAACCAGTCCAGCGCACTACGCCACCACACTAGCTTTTCTGCGCGTCTATCCCAAGCAGCATGGTGCGTGCTAGTGGTAAGCTGCAAACCAAGCATCATATCCCATCATATTATCACGCATTCCCTTTTGGCTTTTGGAACCTTCCGACACTGTCATAAAAATCGACCCGGGCCTTGTTTAGTTTACATCAAAATTCCAAGTTTTTTCACTCTCTCTCCATCACATCAATTTTTGGACGCTTGCATGGAGTATTAAATATAGGTAAAAAAAAAAACTAATTACACAGTTTAGTTGAAAATCACGAGATGAATCTTTTGAGCCTAGTTGGTCCACGATTAGACAATATTTACCAAATAAGACGAAAGTGCTACTATTCATCGGGTTGAAATTATTCACAATCTAAACAAGGCCCCGGCCGCTTTATATATGCGCTACTATGTTCATAGTCTCTTGCATTGGGCTTAGCTAAGACTTGCTTGACTTCGTCCATGGACTTCCACCACACGTGGGGGTAAAAGTTGAACAAAACTAGCCCGTTTTTCAAATTTTTACGTAATTTTAGGATAAATAGGAAACGAAATATAATCACACGGTAAACAAAATGATAAGAAAATATAGAAGCAAATCAATTTTGTTTTTCTTTTTACCTTGCTAAGCTTATTTAGTTTTGTCACACTCTGCCCTACTTTGAGACGATTGAAAGTGATATGTTCGGTCAATCGGCGGAATCTGAGGTCTTAGTCACCAACTATATCCCTAGGTAGGGAATTACATGGCTTCTAGATTTAGAGAAAGTCATTAGGCTATAGGTGATAGTGAGGGTGTCACAGGCCACAAGCAGCAGTGCTAAGATGGGTTTTCCGTATCTCAAAAGTCCGTGTGTTGCTACGGGACAACAAAACTTTTATACTAAAAACACACGGATTGCACAACAGACTATACTGCATCCCTACTATTTACAATTCCAAAAAATATATATTCTAACCTCTAAATTTCTTTTTGACAAAATTAATCTGCAGTTTGTTGAAAGATTAAAAAGATGCCAGCCACCATGTACCCTCTAGCTATCAGATTTCGCCGTCCCTCGCCACAGTGTACTTCTAGTTTCATGAGTGTGCATGTGCCGACTCGTGGAGTCTATTTTGCATGTCCAGTTCTTAGCTTAAGTTGTGCCTTGCACTCAGGTCCATCTCCACCACTCAACTGTCAATACGCATTTGAAACTAGGAACAAATCCAACTATCAAAAGGATTCAATTACACTGAAGAAAATGGGAACAAAATATCAGCATGCTATGCAATGTAACTTCTGTTTTGCCAACATAAAAGAAACTTATCCGTGCTAAAGAATCATAGGTTCATAGTGTACAATGCCAGAAGAGCATCCTTACCGGGTTTCAAGTTTCTATATATTATGCCATTGGCATGTAAACAGTCCATTGCACAGTTAATTGCAATGTGTGATGTGTGTATCTAGTTGGCTAGGCCAAATGCTGTTCAGATAAGTTTTCAGTGACATTCCTGGTAGTAGCTCAATAACAATCACCATCAATGGTCCCTTCCCAGCTCCAATGAACTGCATGAGTGCATAAACAGTTGTGAGAATGTCCTAAAAAAAGGACAATCTATGTAGCCACACAAACATGTCATTTAGACCAGGAAGTACCTTGACAAGATTCTCATGTTTCACTTTACACATTATATTTACTTCTCGACTGAAACAGGCTTCAAAGTGTTGCTTTTTCTTTAGGAGTTTTTCCACGGTTAAGAACCTATCACTACAATTTGATCATCATACCTATTCAGAGATACAAGGAATACAGGACTACTGAATATGACGTAAACATACTAAAAGACAAATAAAAATAAACTAAAACAACAACTAATGCAGATACTTGAAATCCAGTCCAATAAAGTAGCCACATACATGTGAAAAATTAGGTGCGAGTATGCATGCCTCAAAAGTATCGTTACTTCCCCTTGTGGACCTTCCTAGTTTGTTCCCAACGAACATCAACTTAGGATCAACAAGTAGCTCCCTATTTTCTGGATGCCTGAGATCAAAGTAATTAGATTCTATAAAGAATTGGACATTAGAAGAAACAGAGCAATATTATTATTATAATATAATCTATAAATAAAAAGGCAAACCGTAAGACAGTTGTACAATAAACGCTATGTTCAGTTCATATTCAGACCAGAGGAAAACAAAAAAATATTTACCAAGCATGGTTGCTTCAGACATATATTAGTGGAGAAAACTGAACTTGAACCACAACTTACCTTTGAGAATCAAT